TATTTCTTTAAGTTTACCGCAAGCTATCAACCCCAATAACGACTCTTTAAAAAACAGATCATCATTTATTTTATACGTATTTTGTTTCAAAACCTTGAAAAAAATATCAGAACTTATTAACGCGTGCACTTCAGTAGCTTCATAAAATGACTCATCGGCTAATTTCAAAAAATGAGGAATCTCTATTTGCGAAATGTCTAAAGTAGTGGGCGGTGTGAGCCCCGTAATATTATCAACCACATAAAATTCAATTAATTCATTAAAACTAAAATCTTCTTTCGAAATGGATGTAGTTAATTTCCAATTAATGTTTTGGATCGATCCGTTTAATCCCGAAATCGGTGTTTTTATTTTCTCTTTTTTAATCCCTAATAAATCGCTCATATTTTTCTTTAAAACGCATACATTAGAAGCTGAGTCAAGGATCGCTTTCATTTTTATTCTCCTACCATCTGCACATGTAATAAATATTTCAGCAGTTGAGAGCAAAACGTATTTTTTGTTTTGTTTATTAGTGGCTACACTTAATACCGAAGCACTGGGATTTGATGGATTACTAGTAGAAGAAGAAGGAAGTGGCACGTGATCAACTTCACTTTGAGATCGCAAATGATTCATATTCATAGAATTCGAAGAAGAAATATTTTATTCAGTTTTTTTCAAATTTAATTTTGTACAAATTAGCTTAGAATGTTTTGAAGAGCAAGGACACCGATATGGGGAAATACATTGGGCTTTTGTATGATTTTTTTTCAGACATATTTCGCACAATTTATTAGCACGAATTATCTTTATTCTTTCATCAATGTCAAGATTTAAAAATAATGTGCAGCGAAAAATGGGGTGCATACCTTGTTTACAAAGAAAGCAATTCTTATTTTTATTTTTATTATCGTTTTCAGACACTAAAAGAGTTTTTGGTTTAGAGGGAAACGTTGCGTGCTTTTTTATTTTAGTTTAGTATGAACAGTTTCTATCTACGGATAAAAGTACAGCTTCCCGTTGCTCTAAAAAGGTTATAAATTCATTGAAAGAGGGAATTTCTTTTGTTTTTTGTAACAATTCAAAGTTTTTACGAGATTCTTTATCGAGTTTTTTCAACATTATAGTTTGTAAAAATATATCAAATAGAGGATCTTGATTATATTTTAAAACCTTTAGAGCTCTTAAATTTTTATTCAAACACTCAATCATGGCGCGAATTTCTTCAGCATTTTCTTTTTCTATTTTCTTAAAATTCAAAATAGATTGAATGTGTATATCTACGACTAATCTTTTATTGTCATATCTTGAAATTAATGCTTCATATAAAGAAGTAAATGTATCGAAGGTAGAAGCAAATTCTTTCACTTCATTAGCAAGACAAGAATTTAAATAATATAGTTTCTGTGTTTCACTGAGTTGACAGTTACAGGGTTCATGCTCTACTATAATAATAAAATTCAAGTACTTTTCAAGGACTTTTGAAGACTTATTATAAAATTCTCAAGGACTTAAATTTTAGTTAAAGATAGACCAAAATTTAACATTTTAAACTAAAATGTTTTGACGATAAATGTTAGTCGATAATAGCAGTGCTGAAAAATAAGACTTCCATAGCTCTCTCTTGATTTCGGAAAGTGATCTAAGTATATATATGTAAAAAAAATAAATTAATTAAAAAAAAAAAAAAAACAAGGGTGATTGGCATCAAGTCGAGAATAAAATTCATGATGCATAAAAACGTCAGGTTTGAATTTTGCATTAAGGCTTACTTTAAGCTAATAACGCTTAAATACAAAGTCTGAATAAGCAAAGATTCGGGCAGAAGACGGGGTAGGGGGGGATGTTCCATATAATACTGTGATATCAATTAGATATTTAAAAACAACTCTGCCGGGAGACTTTTATTTAATATTTAAAGTGGCAGAAGCATTTAGACAGTGAAATTTAAATTGTTCTTAAATATAATTTTGAAATTTTGACCACTTTTCTATTTAAGAAAATTAATCAATTATTGGATGTTGCGGCTTGATTATCATTTTAAATTTAATATCAGTCAACCATTTTAAATTGAAACAGTTGCCAATTTTTACCTCAATACCTTCTGATAGATTCTTAGTAACAATTTTGGTCACTTTGACTTTTTTAATTAACCACTCATACTTGAATTAACTTTTTTTCAGTAGCATCGATCATACTCACTTGACATGGTCACGTGAATATGAATTGCAACGAGTAGTTTTCAAATCGAGTATAAATACGAAAATCGATGTTTGATATCGCAAAATGCGTGAATACGAATAGCGACATTGGATTTTAAACTAGCGGGAAAACTGATTGCGCTAAAAAAACGCGAAAAAATACAAATCGCGATATTATATTTTTAAATTGCTTTAATGGGAATTGCGAGTACGATTTTTGAATCACGCGAAAACGAATTGCAACACCAGGCATTAAAGTGGACAAAAATAAAAAAAGCTGAACTTTTACAACGCAGGTCATTAGGAGGAGGGGGGGGGAGTGCTCTATATGATACTGAGATTTATAAAAGCAACTTTTGACTATGCTAGGAGATTTTTATTCAATATTTAAAGTGGCTGAAGCATTTATACAGTTAACTTTAACTTTTTCTTAAATATAATTTTAAAATTTTGACGCGATTTTGGATTTTAAAAACACGAAAATGCAAATCACGATATTGGATTTTAAAATCACGTGAATACAAATAACGATATTGGATTTAAAAATCCCTTGATTACGAATCACGCTGTTGGATTTTAAAGACACGAAAATACAAATTGCGATATTGAATTTTTAAATTGCGTAAATAAGAATCACGATGCATAATTTTTAGATCACGTGAATACGAATCGCAGTGAGTAATTTTTAAATAGCGTACAAATACGAAAAACGATATCTGATATTACAACTGTGTGATAACGAATCGCAAAATTGGATTTAAGAATGCGTGAATACGAATCGCGACGTTGGATTTTAAACTCATGAGAATAAAAATCGCGATGTTGGGTTTTAAAAACGCTTAAATACAAATCGCGATATTGGATTATGAAATTGAGTGAATAGGAATTGCTAGTACGATTTTTAAATCGCATAAAAAAATTGCAACACGTAAGTTTTAAATCAGTTAAATACAAAAATCGATGATTGATATTAAAATCATTTGATTAAAAATCGCGATTTTAGCAAATTCCGGTGCAGTTCCTAATATTTAAAATTCCAAAAATCAGCCAAACAACAACAAAAAAAAAAATCAAATATCGGCGCTCGTAACGAAACACTTAGACTCCTTTCCACTCTATAGCAGAAGTCGCGGTAATCCGACTATCGTTCGGGCGGCTTGGGTTTCTCCAATAGGACTTCCCAAAAATTTTAGTTTTTGGAACATGGTCGGAAATTTTCAAAATTGGGGAAAAAAAGCGGATTTCCGCTTTTTCGTGGAAGTCTTTCATCCCTGCAACACATAATTTTTAAATAAGTCTAATACGAAGATCGATGATTG